ATATAATTAAAATCTTTCTTGCAACTGTATGGCTATGAAATTAAAGTTGAAGTAACCTTCATTATTTGTTTATCACTGGCTACAAGTTCTCAGAGATGTCAGGTGGTCAATTAAATTGGCAGTAGTTTTGAGTTTCTGTGCAGAATGTTTTTAGTTACTTTGGCAATATCTAGGTATCTGTGTGTTTGTTTGTTTGTGAACACTATGATATGACTGATAGTGACTGGGTTTTACTGGATGCAAAATATTGCAGCACATAAACATATATAGATTGAGAGTGGGCACAAGTAATATGCACTGAGTCGCATGGGATGCAAAGAGTATGCATGTTTGAATCATTTAAAATAATTAAATCGTACATTAGATTTAGCACATATTTTTGTTCTGATAAAAAAAAAACACAATCAAAGTTAAGAGGTTCATTATACATTTTCTTCACACAATATGTTGTTATTCAAACAAGGAAATCTCCATGTATGTCATGCAAATGGCTGCAGCATATACTGAAAGTTCTTAGGACTGACAAATAGAAAGTCCCAGGGAAATCTACAAGTAAGCATATTGTTGACTGAGGCATGAAACATCAACACTAACACTCATTTATTTATCAACTACAGCTAACGGTGATTGATTTGTTTTGTGAATTTCCAGTGATGCTGAAACCGAACGGGACTCAACTCAAAATAGTACTAGAATCTGTACTTTACTAAGAAAGTGTTATCCCAAATATAACATGTGTTACATTTGACCACTTTCTAAATGGCATTGTGTATTCATAGCAGCTATGGGAGCCGTGCAAATTTACACTTGTCAGAGGGGTACTCAAAGTACGTGATCTAGACTACCAGTTGTCGGACTTTCATTTTTGTGGAAGCCTCGGTGGCTGAGTGGGTTAGATCGCTTACTGATTTCGAAAATTGGTCCTGTTCTTTATTATTTTAGAGATTATAGCCCTTGCTCCTTGTTTTTCAACTTAATGCACACTGTGTGAAATAGGGACAAGCTTTCTCAGAAACTACTGAAGTTACATGAGTGAAAGTTTGAATACTTATCTAACTAATAATTGTCAAGACTGAAGTTTGAAAATTGGTCCCCTCAGTTATTTTTTACAGAATTACGACCCTTGATCCATATTATTTTACTTTGTGCATAGTGTGTGCAATGGGGAAAAGTTTTCTCAGAAACTACTTAAGTTTATGAATGAAAGTTTGCATGCTTTCATGTCTATGAAATACTTGTCAGGACTGATTTAAAAAATTGGTCACGAAAAATATTTGTCAAGTAAGTTTTCTCAGAAACAGCTGAAAATTAGCTTATCTAAGAGATACTTATCAAAACTGAGTATATTGGAAGAGCTAAGAAAATGTGTTTCACCTAACAAACTTGAAGCTAATAAATCCTAAATTTGAAACAGAAACAACTTGGACTTGAAGCTGTTCGGTGCATTATCAAGCTTGTATAATGACAGGTTAGAGTGGTGGAAGCAGAAATGTGCTGCTGTGACACAATTGTTTTTGGTAACAACACTCTTGTGATGTCTTCTGTTACATAATTCAAATTTGTTTAATTGGTTTGGAGGGATAAGTTCATGTGGACATTTGACCTATTTGGAGTTTAAAATTATAGAAGAAATCATCAGGGTTCAAATACACAATAATATTATCCTTGTGTTATGGGTTTTTGAGCACCTAAGAAGTATTTCTGATTTTATGTGTAATAACAATCCCAATAGACTAAAATTAACTCTTACCTGTGAGAACTTTTATTTCTATTACATTGGTGGTCAAGTGATCATGTCTTGTTAATTTTAAAGTGATAATATCTCGCCGAGTGGGTCAACTTGATCAGGCGGCATCTTATTACCGTCACATGATTTCGATCCCCTCCATTACGGTCAGGTTAAAATAGATGCACAACATGATCAGTCACATGACACACAGGAAGTTTACAAACAGCATCAGATACATCATCTCTGCAAACAATGGTTTTGATGCAAAATTAACATCAGATCAAGTTTGATAAAAATGTGCATAAGTGAAAGTAAGTTTTGAGGTATGATTTCATTACTTATTAAATATCTTACCTTGTGTAGCTTAATTCCTACCATCACTTCTGGGGCTAGTTGCGAACACTTTTCCGTTTTAAGTGGGCTTTGAAGCGTCTACCTTGATTGTAAGTGCATGGTCACGTATTGTTTAGGGGCTCGAAAATAGGTGACACTCACAAAAAACATGTCACATGGGGATCCATATAACATCCATTACTATGTAAGCCAAATATTTCAGCCATTATCTACTGTTCAATATTTTCAGTTACAGAAAGCTGTTGCACAGTAGCTATGTAGGGAGAATTCAGGAAAATGATATGTGACCATTGATAAATGTAAACCAATGAAGAATGGGAGATATAAAAAACACCTTGATCAGGCTAAAATATAGTCTTGGTTCTCAGGCATAGCCCACATCATCATAAAGTCTTGTCACATGTTTAATTTTTATTTCCATTTTCAAAAAAGATATAAATTGAAAGAAAATATTCCACCAAATATTGTGATTTGTTGATCAGTACTTACACAATTTCGCAGATGGATTACAAACATATGTCTAGATAGACAATGAACACTTTCATTGCCTGATAGTGTAATAGGACTAACTTGCATACTTCAGTACAGAGTTGTTGACATGTTCACGATAATGTTACATGCTCACGATAATGTCTTAGCACTATATTGTCAAAAGCCATTGCCTGAGAACCAATTGTTTTATTTTTTTAAACCTCAGTGGTTATGCATGAAATTAGGAAAGTAGTCTTCATGTCCATAGTCAATAAAATAAGCAGATTTACCCTCTGTAATGGTGAGTCTCATATCTACTGGCCTGTCAAAACCGGCCCATCTTCATGGATGATAATGGTAAAATAATAGCATTTGTTCCCAGCCAATTTTCATTGTTATTTGCAGACCACTTCAATTTCGAACAAATTTGTGTCAATGAGTCTGCAATACACTCAAAATGTCAAAAATAGTTTGGTGACAAAAAGGTTATCAAGATATGATGCGTTAAGAGAAGTATTATTATCAGGACATCAGTCCCATTGCAGACCTTTCTAGATCCTACTCTTTTGATTTTAGTGAAGGGTTACTGCTTTTAGGCATTTTTGTGCTTGGTGTTATCTCATGTAGAACTGAGAAAAGTAACTTTGTGTAACATGCATGCACACACTGGGGTCCTTGTCATAGATCTGATGTTAAAAGGTAACAATTTAGGGGATCCCTACGAATAACATAGGAGCAAACCTCAGGACCACAAGACTCCACTTAATTTCAAACGCTGAATTATACTGAACACCATCTCAGTCCATAATAATATAATTTGTTTCTTGAGCAAAACTAGAATAATTTCAAGTTTTCCTTTATAAACTTGGCATTTATTATAAGTTAAATCAATGAAATGGTGAAGAAGCAAGTTGTAACCTTTACTGATTAGGTACCCGGTAATATATAAATTGCCACTTTTAAGATTTTTATGAAAACACAAGTATTTCTGTTCATTGATGAATTCTCATGTTAATTTAATTATTCAATTGAAATAATCACTTATTACATATATACATTTAACGAATGGTGCACCTATTGTATGTTTACATAATTTAGGTTAGTACATTACTAGTAAAGGTGGTGATATCCTTTATCAGATACTCATGGTGGATTGTTATGGAACAAAACTGCTTTAGGTGTCAGGTTAACACAGTTTATGTTAGCATTGGAAATTAATCAAGGTGGCCGAATTCAAGGAGTTGTAATGTCATTTTGAATGCAGGGTTATTTGTTTACAAACAATGCTAATATCAGGACATTATATTTTACTTGTTTGACAGTTTCATTCTTGGTCCTGTTTAGAATTGAAATTGCCATAAAGGTAGCAGGTAGTGATACCCTGGCATGCATAAAGGAAATTATTTTGTCATAGAATAAAAGTGATTTTGAACAATGATTATACAGCAGTGGGTCATTGACCTCTTAAATATGTGATGTCAAGATCAGTCATGGGCATCTTGTTACATACCTCAAACATATGCACCTGTTAACTCTTGTTAGTTTGGGTGGTGCAAAAGTTTAAATACACAAAAGCCAATTTTGACTATGAAATTTGTAATGTGAATTCTTGGAAACACTACTCACATGAGTATATTGTATCCAGGCTTTAAACGACGCAGAAATGTGCGTCCAGTACCCACAAATGTTTTGAATGAATGCAGAAAAAATACATATTGCATCCCGAGGGACGAACAATAATATTCAGAGTACCAAATTCTTGACAAGAAATATGGAGTTCCAGTATTATGAAGTAAAGTAGTTATTACATCTTACAGTACAGTACTCAATATCTTTTCATTAGTTTACAGGACCCTCATATTTTCTGTAAGGACCCTTGAAAAAAGTAATTGGCAATCCTCTTGACTCCTAGATTAGAAGGTCAATGTAAAACCCTGGTTTCACTTTTAGATTAAACACTATTTCATCATAACTATATTAATTGACAAACGTATCTACCTATGTAAGTGATAAAATACTCCCTTTTTTGTTAAAACCATGCGAACGAACACAGAGTAATTTTGATTTTACTCTCAGGATGAAAGTTTGTGCCTGCGTTTGGACTATTAGTTACATACAATATTACTAAAACATCATTTGTCAAAAGTTAATCAATAAGATGACCTTCTTGAATTTCCATACAAATTTTGGAATGAGGAACAATAAAATGGCATTTTTGAAACATAATTTCCTACCCAAATTGATCGACACCATGAACTATGCCCAACAAGTCCACAATCAATTTCAGATTATTTGTTTTTGTAAGAATAAAATTACTATATTTTGTGAGAAAACTACTATTCCTAACTGGTGTTTATAGCCATGACTTATATATATATATATATGAATAAAGTTAAGTCCAGCAACAACACAGACTTTGACACACTGGGAGTAAAGCTTATGGTTGAGCTAATGGAGAGGAGTGTGGTGGTTGTTGCCGGGTTTCTGAATATCACTGTTGCACATTGTCAACAGAGCCTTTGTCCACCTGTCACAGCACTGTTGTCCACACATACACTGCAGTTGAATTACTGCCATTTTCAATACTCAATGCACAGTTTTTAGCCTCTCTCTTGAAAATTGCCTGGTTATCCATTGAGGCCCTACTGGGTCTGGATGGTCAGGAAAGTAATCGTGTTTGCATTCAGCAGATATTGGATAAATACATCAAAAGAATTGGAATACGCAGCAACCCCAAAGGGAAGTTTATTGAACCCACATAAACATTTTCAGTTAGTATTCAATCTATGAAAATACACTTTTGAACAAATAGCTATCAGTAAGTAGTAATGAATACACTGAAGGGGATGTAAACATTTATAGGTGAGTGGTAGGGGCAGTCAGTATGACTTGGTTTAACTTGCTATGTCCCAGTAACCCGTTAAGCTAACAAAGCCTAACCATATGTATGTGGCCTTGTTATGTATTACAGCAAATCTATCCATGTATAATATTGCTTATTCTACATGCTAATGTGTAATGCTTTGTATAGAAAGTTGTCGATGGTATTATATTAGTGTAACCTGTGTGTGATCGCTTGCTTTTGTTCATTCCCACAGGCCTGCACATTACTAAAAACGGGCTGATTGGTCACAGTATAGCTTGAAGTCAGCCATCATGAATAGGGAACTAAACGTGGATTCTATCATTGAACAGCTGCTCTCTGTCAGGGACTCTCCAGGGAAACAGGTAAAAACACATCCAGATTAATATTTTAGATCTACTTGTTTAATGTTATTACACTGTAACTTCAGTTTTTTGAGTATTTGTCTCACCTTGTTTTCCCCAGTGGTGCTGATTAATGGCTGCAAGACAAGTTAACAAGAGATACAAGTGTAGTTTGTACATAAGTGATAAACTGTTGATCGTGTTGATAGTTTAAATATCTTGTCTCCTGTTCATTCATCTTAAAATTTTAAAAATACTTGATGACACGTAACTATTGCACATTTTAGTTGTGCTTGCCTTTGCAAGTACATGCACAACTATGGTTTAAACATATTTTTATTTCAAAAGAAATCTGGATCAGTAAAAAAGCAAAACTTGCTTATGTAAATACCTCTCCAGGTAATAACTTTACAACAGCTGGTTATATATAAGATTATATGTAAGATAGTGCTAAACATAAACATACTAAATGCACAAATGAAATATATGAAGCCAATACAAGTGGTGTCTGTGAAATAAGATAATGCAGTTATCCATTACTAAATGCATAAAATTAGGCTTTTGATAATGAAATCGTGAACTGATTTACGAATAGTCATGTTTGTAGAACTGCTAACTAAACTACTGCCATGTAATATTGTTTTTAAATCATACCCATGTGTGTAGAAATACATAGTGTTTCTGATATTATCATATTTTTGACAGGTATAGAAAAAGTGAATTGTGTCTTCAAAGTGATACCCACAAGTGCAGTCTGATATGTCTGATACATGTCGTCTAAACTTATCAGCGTTTAGGTCACTGCAGCTGAGCCCAACTGTATACTAGAAACTACTAGAAACTAATCAAATTTCAAATTCTATATATTTTGGCACTATAGTTTGCTTTCTGTTCTAAGCCAATTGTTGGCATGTGTTTGAAAACATCAGATTGGTTTACTTGACATATACTCTACTGCATGTAAATAAGATATACGTCAAGTGTTGAATTTAAATTGTAGGTTCAACTTCCTGAGACCCAAATTCGCCAATTATGCCAACTGTCCCGAGGAATATTCCTGGAACAGCCCATGCTGCTGGAACTGGAATCGCCTGTCAATATATGTGGAGATATACATGGCCAATACGAGGACCTGCTGCGACACTTCGACAAATGTGGATTTCCACCAGATGCAAATTATCTTTTTCTTGGTGATTATGTAGACAGGTTCGTGAAACCTTTGAATCATTACCCTGCAGGCCTTTGGGAATTTAGGGGTTGCCAGGATACCATTTCAACCATATTTGTGTAGCATTGGTCTGAAAATAGGTCTGATTGATTCATTGACTTAAAGGGTCAATGTGTTTTCCTGAAGTACATCAGATGAGTCAACAGAAGCAGATTATGGATAAGGCCGAAATTAATTCAAGATTTGTTGATGCTTAAAGATTTATTATGATAAAACAAGCTATTAGTGATTAAAGCTGTTACAAAGCTTTTGTTATCTTGAAATATTGTTATCTGTAAGCTATATCAGTTGCAGTTTAGAAGTTCATGTTAATCAGGCTGTGTAGAAATGTTGGTGATGTTTCTCATTTGTCCTTTGCACTTCAACACATTGTAAAGCCATGGCTTCCTGTAGAGTGTTCTTAATGATTCATATACTGTTGTGAGCAAAAAGTTACAGATATAACACCTATGCCTACATAATAAATGCATTTAGATAAGGAACCATACCAAGTGTGAACCATTGATCACTATTAATGGAGCTCCAGAATACAATGGTAGTCAAAATTCTTTCAGTTGAATATGAATAAATAATGTGCACTAGTGAGAACTTGAATACTTGCCTAATTGTTATGTTTTATTTATATTTTCAGAGGTAAAAGATCCCTTGAGACTATATGTTTGGTACTAGCATATAAGATCAAATATCCAAACAACTTCTTTTTGCTACGAGGGAACCATGAATGTGCATCAATCAATCGGTACGTTATCATGTTTTCTTCAACTGTAGATTGTAGGGAGCACATTCAAGCTGGAAAATGGAAATTTCTAATGAATGATTATATCAAGGTCAGGGTTCACTCTAGGAATTTTCTGACACAGGCCTTTTATGTGAAAATTTCATATCTTCCAAAGGTACACCCACACTTGCCCATACAGCAGTTAAAATGCCCCATTGTATTTGAAAATGTGGGCCTTTTTTCAAAGTTAGGGGCTAAAAGCACAAGGTCCAACCCTAGAATTATCCCTGAAAGATGTTATTTCAGCTTATAATAGAAACTGACCATAAAAGATTCATTGCAGCTTGTGTCATGCTTGATCTTAACATACCTGCCGTAGTGATAGTGCATTTTGGCATTTCCTCTTAGGTTATGAAGCTGAAACTTTCTGTATGTAGTCCCAGCAATGGCATGTATAGACTGTTTATAGAATTTATATCTGATTTGAATGTATTTGACCTTTACACAGTCATTTCTGCACCTAAGAATGTGACATGGGCAGTTAATATGGGAATGTAAAGTAAACAATTTGTTTTCCGTATGGTGTTGATGATCCCAGGAGTAGTAGTTTTCAATAAACTAATTTTGGAAGTCTAATCTGAATATTGATATGGCAGGCATGTTTAAGGTGGCATCTTATCCAGATTTGATATAAAACATGTCACTATTTGAGCTATGATGTGTCGTGTTTATAACTATTCAAGTGAAGTCTCTAAATGGCATTTAGAAATGATACACATATGAGAGAGAATTTATGGATGTCAACTTCTTTATTATGAGGAATACAATGTTACATGCACAGTAAACTACGGTTATAACATACTCAAATGGGCCACTAATTTTAGTTCGTTCTAAACCGCAGTTCGTTATAAGCATATATACAGCATATACTGTAAATCTTTGAAATATACACGAGCGTGAATTAAATCCGAAAAATTTGAGTGGTCTTGCTTGAGAGGAGAGGGGTGTCGCATTCATATTGAATCGCATTTATGGCTAGGGGCCAGTGGTCGTATCCTTTTGGAGATGCATCAATTTCACGATTTACAGTATATAGCAAATGGCACAACCACAAAAAACTTCCTTATATCCTTCAATTCGGTATAAGCGTGTTCATTATAAACATATTTTACTGTACATATAAAAACAAAACAAGAAACGCAAAAGTAGTTAAATTGTAAATATCTGACAGAGTGGTGCTTATATCTACACAAAATTATTACCCAAAATGAATTCATCATTTCTGCATGGATTGGGATTGATTCATGTAGAAAAGGTACTGCAGAAATTTGGTGAAAAGATGGAAAAAAACGCAAAAACACAACCTCGTGAGAGCCTGATGAACACACCAACATGAAATGCATGTGCAACATAACATTTTGGGCTATAAAAACGTTGGATTTTTATTTACATACCATCACAAACTTAGAAAGTGACTTCAGCAACCCATTCTTGCCATAAAAGGCAACTATGCTTGTCGTAATGGCGACTAACGGGATTGGGTGGTCAGACTCGCTGACTTGGTTGAAGCATGTCATCGATCCCAATTGCCTGGATTGATGCTCATGATATCAATCACTGGATTGTCTGGTCCAGACTCGATTATTTACAGACCGCCGTCATATAGCTGGAATGTTGCTGAGTACAGCGTAAAACAACCAACCAACCAACTACAGCAAGTGAAAGGCAATAACATGCTATGACTGAAGTAAGCCCAACACAGCAATGCCATCAGCAGACTGCATACAGGCAAATCATTTTCGGCCGTGGCCAGGTTATTCCACATAGCACCAAGCACCAATACAAGACTGTGGAACTGTGGAATCTTCTCAGATCCGGTCAACCAGGTGTCACTACTAGAGCACAGGACAGACTCTTACGGCTATACCACTTATGTGAAAGAACCACCACGGCCACCTCTACAACAATGGCAATACCAGGATTGCGTAGGATATCAGCCCAGACAGTTAGGAACCGTTTACGTGCTGAAGGAATTTGCACTAGACGATCAGTTTCGAGGTGTCATTTTGACGGACCTGCATCATCGGCTGCGACGTCAGTGGTGTCAAGGTCACAGAGTATTGCCACAACAGCAAAAGTTTGGTTTAGTGATGAGTCATGTTTTATGCTTCGTCATGGGGATGGGAGACGTGTTTACATTCATCATGGGGAACGTGACAGAAGTGGACAGATTTGGTGGTGGAAGTGTGATGATGTGGGCAGCCATACTTGCACTTGTAGAATGTAGATGGTGCAAGTTCAAGGGAACTTAACGGCACAACGTAACAAGGATGAGATTAATTCAGCCATACTTCCTTCCCATTATGCAACAAGCGAACATAATTTTCCAACAAGACAACGCCCGACCTCACACAGGCAAGACTGATGACAGACACTTTGAGGAATCACTCCTGCAATGGCCCTCCAGGTCTCCAGATTTAAACCAGCGGTAGAAACTAACAGTTTCAGTCCACTAGTCCTTATAATGATAGCATATAGCAGAACCTTTAAAAATGTCAAAATTCTACTAGTCCTTAGGATACCTTTACTATTGGGCAGTTTGGCAAGGACTATAGGACTAGTGCCAATTTCTAACCCTGTAAACCCAATCGAACATTTATGGGATGCGCTGGATAAACGACTGCATGACCACAGAACCTCCAGCAGTTGGCACAAACACTGCAGGAAGAGTGGGTGAACATACCCCAGGCCACAATTCAGGATCTGATTGCTTCCATGGGATGACGATGCAAGTCAGTTATGGACTCAAATGGTGGCCATACAAGATATTGAGCACAGATGACCTTCACCTTGGAAATGTACTGTTCCATGTGTGCCATATCAAGCCTAGTTCAATGAGAATATGTCCAAATTTTGAACAATTGATTACCATCTGTTGATTATTTATATGATATAAAAAATATACAAAATAAAATCATTTTGCGTTTATTTTTTGCAGAGTATATATGCTCTCTGCACCCCATTTACCTGAAGAAGGAGTAAGTGAGTGTATACCCTGAAATGTTGTGTTCCTCATAATAAAGAAGTTGACATGCATAAATTCTCTCTCTTATTGAAGTGAACTTTTAGAAGCAGTGATTTTGTAGTTAGTATGTTTGTACATGCCTTTACCTTTGATAAACTTGTGTCCAGAGGGACCAATTATTTAATTTCATGGGTGTTAATGAGAGATGTAAAGGTTCTACCGTACACCATGACCTGTCAAACTTTACATTTTTTTGTCTTTGGGACTTTTCAAACTATTGATTAAATTAATAACATTATTTCATGTAGAATGTTTATTATTTGTGTCTCGCTCGGTATACCGTTAATTTGTATTCTTTATCCAAACCATGCATTTGTGGGTACTTAACACACTGTCATGTTGAACCCTGAAAGCAAAGAAACTGTTAGGCATATTTCTGAATAGCATTTCAGAAAGCTCTTATTATTCAGTTTGTTAAAGCAGTGTATAAGGTAAGGTCATTATTCTACTACAATTTCAAGGTATTTTCAGGCTAGTTCAATGCCCTGTACAATCTACGTGCCATTATTGATTATTGATTGACCATTGCCATCACAGATATTATCAATATCCGAACATGTAGTTAATCTATGGCAGCTTTCATATACCAGAAACCATGGGTGGTTTTGACAGGTTGGTCGTATGACCTCCAGATAATTACTTCATTATCAAGCAGGCCATATTACATGGGTTGGCTGTCTATACAAGATAAGTCAATATGACCAGATATAAGCCGCTGTGTAATGTTCAACCTGGACAAAGAATAATCAGGTTGTAATCCCAGGAATCAGGGGATTATCTCACTCAGTCCTGACTTTCATCACATCAGATTATATATTGACTTAAGTGGTGTGTTTGGGTGCTGGATTATTCCAGTTTGACAATTAATGCCTGGTATTGATTTGTGTTTGAATGGTAATCATGGTATTGTGATTGTAGTTCTGGTGATTTGGGTGATTTTATTATTTGGTTTGGGATAGTGACACTCCTACTTGATTAGATATGTATGTTTTCATCATTTCTTTATATCATGAAACTGTATACAGCATCTTGAACTAATTGTTTGTAAAGTCAAAAGAATACTTTGTTATCCACTGGTGTTTGTCAAGCTGCAATGAATCATTAAATGTCAATTTAATTCATTCAATAATTCATGGAGGGGGGATATCAATCGTGATTTTGAAGAGACTTTTTCAAAATCAAACAATATGTTTAGATCTAGGTATAGACATTTGGATATGGATATTTAGTTTGAAAACGAAACATGATTCTTAACTATGAGGACTATTTGTCTGTACATGTTATTCCAATTAAAGCTTTTGGTATGCATGACAAGGAAGCATGATCTGGTTAACTGAAATAAACAGAACAATTTAGGACCTACATGTTTTTTTCTGGCACAAATTCTACTCAGTACTGTTGCTTAGGAACACTTGTTTTCTAGATAGATTTCTTAATATGCCCTTCAGGAATAGACACCACAGCTCATTTTGGACTAGTGGTTTATGTAACATAACTAACTTTGGGGAGGAAACAAGATTTCCACTACTACTACAAATCCTGAACCTGCCCTTGATATGTGCTGTCAGTTACCGTATTCGACGTAATAAACGCCCCGCTCTAATAAGCGCCCACGGCGATAATTGTTCATATTTTGGCTAGTGAACAATCCCAATTAGCACCCAGTCCGATTGATCAATGTACACAAGACTTATTTATTTGCGCATAATTTGCACTCGTGTGTTATATGCACCCTTAATTATGGGCAATTAAATTCTGAAAAAATATATCTGTCGTATATAAACATTTCAGTCTGTCAGCATGAACCACGAAATTTATCTTTCAAATCTGTTTTTTCCACCAAAATAATATTCTTATAAGAGCCCCCTGTTTCTAATTTTGAGAGCGCCCTAGGCGCTTATTACGTCGAATACGGTAATACCTGGTGTCATTTTTGGCTTGGCATGAGCATAATTATTAACAGTGTTTGAAATTAAACAGTCAAGTGAAGGGATCTTTGTCATGACCCTTATGTTAAAAGTTTGAGATTTGGGGGCTTCTTGATTCAAGTACCATAGGAACAAATCTCAAGGAGCCTGGGACCTAACTTAATTTTCAACACTGATAAACTTGTAATGGTGAAATAAGATCTTGATGTTTGCCACACTACTTGATGCATTAATAAGCTTTATGTAACTTATCATTTCATATCATTTCATTTCATTTATTTGGTAGGTTCAATTACATAAACCAGATTGTGTATTGTGGTGTTTTCTATTCACACATACTTCTGTTTATTCACATGATAATAGTTTTCATGTCGCTTTTATGATATTGATTTCAGAATATATGGTTTTTATGATGAATGCAAGAGAAGATACAACATTAAATTATGGAAAACTTTCACAGATTGCTTCAACTGTTTACCTATAGGTAAGCTTTTTAACAACATTTTAGTTTTATTTCTCTAAGAACATTACTTTGAGTGAAAAACTCTTTGTCATTGAAACCAATGTTTCTTTCAGGTTAAAGAAAGTCTGAAAAATATAAATCAATGAAAATTTGAGATCTTTTTATTGGATTGGATTTATCTTCCTCAAATTGATTTGGATAATAATATATTTGTACCTTTACTATTGGGCAGTTTGGCAAGGACTATAGAACTAACACTGGTATGTATGCTAGACTTGCTCTACAGGAATGTCTGTTAGTTTGTTTCACAACAAATGTATTCAAATAATTATCATCTTTGGATGAGAAAGGTGTGTTAAGGATGACCTCGCTAAGTCAGTCAGAATGACAGAGCGTCATAATACATGTTCATCCGGTATTAAGATGTCAAAACAGGATAAACGACTCAGGGTTAGAAATTGGCACTAGTCCTATAGTCCTTGCCAAACTGCCCAATAGTAAAGGTATCCTAAGGACTAGTAGAATTTTGACATTTTTAAAGGTTCTGCTATATGCTATCATTATAAGGACTAGTGGACTGAAACTGTTAGTTTCTACCGCTGAACGTGACGGGACAAATTTCCTTAGTTGTTCCTTAAACTATCACTGTCATTCTAGACATGGATAAAGCTGATACTACGACAGTTTGGATGGACATTTCTATGTTTTTGTCCCCCGCCGCGCGAAAGCGCGAAGCGGGGGATATAGTATTCACGACCGTCCGTACGTCCGTCCGTACGTCCCAACTGTTTGTTGCCGCGATATCTCAAGAACTAAACACTGGATTGTCTTCATATTTGGAACTATGGTGTATATACAGACTCCGCAGACACCAGTCGGTTTTGGTGACCTTGACCCCATTTTCAAGGTCACAGCAGGCATATCTGCTTTTGGAGTTGGAAAACGGTGTTGCCGCGATATCTCAAGAACTAATCGCAGGATTGTCTTCATGTTTGGAACTATGGTGTATATACAGACACCACAGACACCAGTCGGTTTTGGTGACCTTGACCCCATTTTCAAGGTCACAGCAGGCAAATCTGCTTTTGGAGTTGGAAAACGGTGTTGCCGCGATATCTCAAGAACTAAACACTGGATTGTCTTCATATTTGGAACTATGGTGTATATACAGACTCCGCAGACACCAGTCGGTTTTGGTGACCTTGACCCCATTTTCAAGGTCACAGCAGGTAAATCTGCTTTTGGAGTTGGAAAACGGTGTTGCCGCGATATCTCAAGAACTAATCGCAGGATTGTCTTCATGTTTGGAACTATGGTGTATATACAGACACCACAGACACCAGTCGGTTTTGGTGACCTTGACCCCATTTTCAAGGTCACAGCAGGCAAATCTGCTTTTGGAGTTGGAAAACAGAGTTGCCGCGATATCTCAAGAACTAAACACTGGATTGTTTTCATGTTTGGAACTATGGTGTATATACAGACTCCGCAGACACCAGTCGGTTTTGGTGACCTTGACCCCATTTTCAAGGTCACAGGTAAATCTGCTTTTGGAGTTGGAAAACGGTGTTGCCGCGATATCTCAAGAACTAATCGCAGGATTGTCTTAATATTTGGAACTATGGTGTATATACAGACACCGCAGACACCAGTCGGTTTTGGTGACCTTGACCCTATTTTCAAGGTCACAGCAGGCAAATCTGCTTTTGGAGTTGGAAAACGGTGTTGCCGCGATATGTCAAGAACTAATTAATCGCTGGATTGTCTTCATATTTGGTATTTTGGTGTATATACAGGCGGGGGACATTTCGTCACTTCTGTGACAAATACTTGTCTTTCAAGGATTGGACGTAGCGAGGATATTGGTAAACGATCATGCAGTCAAACTCTCTGATGTTTCTAAATGTATGCTAACATGCCTAGTTTACGATTAAAGGGTCTAAATGATCAGAAACAACACCTCTGTATGTATTCGTGCCCAGGGGTTCCCCCCGGAATGTGGAAGTAGTCCGTCCGTTAGTGTTTGTCAGTATCCTGAGTTTGTCATTTCAAGAATAGGGTCTCGTGGAAAACGTATGAACGTCAAAATGTGTCGTTCATACACTTATGAATGTCAATTTTGCAGTCATGTGACAGACCTCTCGTCCAATGGAAAAACTGTATATCGTGTTATCTTTAAGGTAAAAAGGTATTTGTGTATAATGCAAATTTTTCAGAAAAATACAGCTGTGTACTTATTGGGGGAGGTTATTATGCATGCAGACATTGAGCTTTGACTCTTTGTCCAAAGCTAAAACAGTGCAGGCATGTTAACATTACTTGACACAAATAAGTCAGTCTTTTCCTCGAGGGTGTTTTTTCCATTATGCGAGTAATCATTGATCGATATCAAAGTGGGACCAGTGACAGTGTTCCACATATAAATGGGTGATGCCAAATACTTATTATGGACTTACTATAATTGGAAATACTAATAAGATTGTCAAACATCTTGTCTTGTAACCTACTATTGCAAAATGTTTAGTTCAGTTGACATTTGAAGTTTGTTCCCTCCCACTCTGACATCATGGTACATGGCTTTATCGTCGGATGATATGTTTTCAGACATCATATGTTTTTGAACGGCCAAGTTGACATGATTATTTGTGCTATAACGATGGGTGTTGCGCCACACAGACATTGTAAATACTCAGATGAGGGCTTGTTTTCAAGTTAAAGTTATCTTTTATAAGTGAGTGAGATATGTACAGTAGTTCATGTGATTAGTGAGAGAAAACTATGAATGTTTCTTAAGCTTCTAATAACCCATTTTACATGGATAATTGTCAATTTTCTGAGCGCCTAGGGCACTTATATGGCAAATACGGTACTTCAGATTTGTTGGTATATCACATCAAACTTTCAACCACACATGATTTGCAACAAATTGATGGTTTGGACAGCTAAACCAGGGTCATTGGCTTATTATAGATGTAGTGATATGATTGAGAAATAATATATTTCCATGAGTAAATAATTTGTTGGGTAAATGAAGATTTGCATAATAGCCTGCCCTTTTTCTCTGTTGTATAATGAATGAGTGGAAGATATTGGCTTCCTCCTCATGAATACTATTGATCTTGCTGAGTACAGGATGAAGTTCTGGAAGCTTCCTTTGTTGATATCCAATCTGTTATTGGGGCATTTATGTGCATTACTTATATTTATTTGTATATTTTCACATACCGGTATCACATATTTTGTGTCATACCTCCCATGGGAACTTTCCAGTTATTCTAGTGTTTTCTTGTTTTATCTCTGGCTAAAAGGTGTAAATCTTGCTACACTTCCTTATGTTTTGTCAATCTGCAGTGGTTTTAGAATTACTTGAAAGTCACTGAAACCATGTTGCTTGCATATTGACCGTCATTGATGAAAGGAGCTGAAGACCACTTTGATCTACACACAGAATTAGAGTGTGTTTTTATCACCTGTTATGTACTGAACTGCTCTTGTCTAGCAACAGTACAACACAACGGACAATGTACAAGAGTATTGATCCCAATACATTGCTGTGTTTGGAGAAACATTACTTGACTGACACTGTATGGGAATCTTCCCCTGAGCTACATCTGGATATCAAGTTCCGAGTCTTTTGTCATCCTGCTCAGCCTTATGTCATGAACACAGGATAGATGATTTGAACATGATCATCAACTTAGAACAAGATCAATGTGGTGCTGGGAGTTTCATAATGTACAGATCTGATGAGAATTGATTTGTCTGTTATTATGTTTCTGGGTACATCAGTAATAGCTTGAAAGATGAAAAGACCATTAGGGTGGACATACAGGTGACTGTCTCATTTGTGACAATTTATCAGAAGGTGAATTTTCAACAACAAAAATGATACATGAATGCCTCTGATTCAGCAGTGAGCCTTATCAAAACGTATTTGGAATTATATACCGTTCTTTGTCAGGACAAATAACAAAAATAATTTAGACAGTAAATGGGATTGTTTTGAAAATGTTATTGTATTCTGAAAATTCAAAAGGTTTCAACTCACAAACATGATTGTGGTTATCATCAGGGTAAGTCATGTGTGGCTATATTATATGATTTTGATATTACTTATGACCTTGTGGTCTAATAAAGTTACTTACAACCTGACCTTCATAGTTAAGCAGGGTTTCCCCTGACGCAGAATTCTTACGTATATGACTCTCAATTAAGGAAAAATATGTCCAGAAATAAATGACTACGTCATGACTGACGCAATTTCAAAATATCTATGTTGTTGTTTACCAGCTTTGGAATGAAAATATTACAACTACTCACCTGAACCTAATTTATAAACATTTTCCGAAGACAATATATGCAAACGTCTTAAAATTTACGTCTAATGTAATGTAAATGTTTTTAATTAATCGTCGTTTTTAGAAGTAACACATGACCAGACTTTTCTCTCGTTTTTTAAAACAAACGCTAAAATCAGAACAGCCGGGGGCTTTACATATTGTTTTGCATAATTATATAGATATGCTACTAAAACTGTGCGACTTTGAGGTTCACGACAGAATATATTTATTCATCAAAGTGAACGTAACTCTCACACTCCGTGTGGCTTCGATGACAGCACATGATGTAAACAAAGGAAAACTACGCAAATGGACAAGGTTTTTCACGTTTCATCATATTTTCTCACTAAAAGTTAACCATGACATATGTTTATCTAGATGTGTAGACTCGTAAAAAATGAAACAGAAGAAAATATTATCATTGTTGCGGTGAATAATGTGATTTGGCACGGTCACAGTATGTGGTTAAGCGGAACCTATGGAACGGGGTAAACGGAAGTTGTAAGTATTGGAGGGACACATGTTTTTGCCGAAATTTAGGTAAACATTATTGAATGAAATTTTTAAAAAAATTAATAAAATAGATGACAAACATAAGGTCAGATATACAGAGAACACATTTTTATTACCAGATAGTGTAACAACAGGATTAACTTGCGTAATTCAATTCGGATTTGCTAT